CGCCTTCGCAGCCATTGTAACATGTGCCATGTTATCCTCCGCCTGCTCCACCGTTGAGGTCTTTGGGTCTTCAGACTGTGCTTGGTCTGGGACCTTCCCCGCGGCCACTCCTGGGAGTGCACGACTCCAGTCATTGTGCCCACAGGTTCATTGGAACACGCAAGCCCCCTCACCACGACAAGGTGACAGTCCATACTAATACTAATAGGAGCAAGCCCAGGGGCCACCCAGTCCACCCCCCTTTATTCTGCCCTGCAGGGAAGGTACAATCAAAGCACCCCCGACAGATGGCCATTCAGCATTTGCAATAATGGTCATACTAATAGGAGCAAGCCCAGGGGCCACCCAGTCCAGCCCCCTTTATTCTGCCATGCGGGGAAAGCACAATCAAAGCATCCCTGACAGATGGCCATTCAGCCTTTGCAATAATAGGAGCAAGCCCAGGGGCCACCCAGTCCAGCCCCCGTTATTCTGCCATGCAGAGAAAGCACAACCAAAGCACCCCTGACAGATGGCCATTTAATTTTTGTAATAATAGTAATACTAATAATGGTCCAACGGTTACGAGATCTACACGGCTCCTTAAGTGGTTATCTGTATTTTGGAATCACAGGGAAGACTTTTTCTCTTCCAAACCCCTCAGCTTTCTTCGGATTTCCTTTTGAGAGGCCAGACTTAGATGCCCTTGTTTTTATTTAATGTATGGGGGAAAATGGCGCATTTGCTTCTCCCTTTCCTCTCTGTCCCACCCACGTACGGGAGAGCATTGTGGGAGGAGAGCATTGTGGGAGGACTGGTCAGAGGAGATGCCCGTTCTTCCCCAGGCCAGGACTTCATTCCTTTTAATTCCGGCAAACATTTCTCCCTCCCTATATGGAAATGCCCTGTTTCTCTAGATCCTTGAGCTGTTGGGAAATGTCCCCTGGACAGAAGCAAAGGAGAAGAGGGATGACTGGGCTGAGGAGAACAAGCTGGGAAGGAAGGAAGGAAGGAAGGAAGGAAGGAAGGAAGGAAGGAAGGAAGGAAGGAAGGAAGGAAGGAAGGAAGGAGGCTTTCTTGCCTTGGCATCCCATCCTGGGCACAACAGAGGGAGGGAAAGGCAGAGAGGGAATTGCTTCAGCAGAGACGAATGTTGTGAATACCTCCATATGTTTAAATCTGGATCTGAAGTATCCAGATCGGAGACAGATTCTTGGCTGAGTGGAGGATTCATTTGGGAATACCAGGAAATTTGGTAGCAGCAAACTTTTATGAAGAAAAAGGAGGGAACGGTGTTTTTTGGCTTCATGTCTAATCTTTTGCTGTTTCTTTCTTGACCAGGAACATAAGGATTCCATGGCGATATCTCTGCCGCCATGACAAACAAAACAGCTTCTAGTGGACATTGGGGAATGTGGAAACCAAAGAAGCTGTAAGGAAAAGGGTTCTCTATGAAAAAGACATCCTCTCCAGGTGCTGATCTTGCTGAACAGACTTTGGATCAGAAAGGAAAAAATAAGACAGAAGTGTCCATATTGCAGTTAAAAATACATACCACTGTCAACATGAAGGAGAAACCCTATAAATGCCTGGAGTGTGGAAAGAGCTTCACTCAGAATGCACACCTACATTCACATCAACGAACTCACACTGGGGAGAAACCCTATACATGCCTGGAATGTGGCCGGAGCTTCACACAGAGTTCACACCTACATAGACATCAACGCACTCACACTGAGGAGAAACCCTATAAATGCCTGGAGTGTGGAAAGAGCTTCACTGATAGTGGAAATCTACAAAAACACCAACAAACTCACACTGGGGAGAAACCCTATACATGCCTGGAATGTGGCCGGAGCTTCACTCAGACTTCACACCTACATACCCACAAACGAACTCACACCGGTGAGAAACCCTATATATGCCTGGAGTGTGGAAAGAGCTTCAACCACAATCAAAGTCTGCAGTCACATCAAAGGACTCACACTGGGGAGAAACCCTATACATGCCAGGAGTGTGGACAGAGCTTTGCTCAGAATGCACACCTACATTCACATCAACGAACTCACACTGGGGAGAAACCCTATAAATGCCTGGAGTGTGGAAAGAGTTTCACTTTGAGGCATCACCTGCAGCGACATGAAAGGATTCACACTGGTGAGAAACCTTATAAATGCCTGGAATGTGGAAGGAGCTTCAAATACAGTCAAAATCTGCATTCACATCAAGGGACTCACACTGGGGAGAAACCCTATGAATGCCTGGAGTGTGGAAGGAGCTTCGCTTTGCATGGGAGTCTACGGTCTCACCACAGAACTCACACTGGGGAGAAACCCTATAAATGTCTGGAGTGTGGAAGGAGCTTCACTCAGAATTCATCCCTACATAAACACCAACAAACTCACAATGGGGAGAAACCTTGTACATGCATAGAGTGTGGAAAGAGCTTCGCTAACACTGGAAGTTTACATTCACATCGAAGGACTCACACTGGGGAGAAACCCTATAAATGCCTGCAGTGTGGAAAGAGTTTCACACGGAGGGATTGTCTACATTCACATCAAAGGATCCACACTGGGAGGAAACCCTATAAATGCCTGGAGTGTGGAAAGAGTTTCAGTTGGGAGCATTCTCTGCAGCAACATGAAAGGATCCACACTGGGGAGAAACCCTATAAATGCCTGGAATGTGGAAAGAGCTTCATTGGCAGTGGAGACCTACGTAGACACCAACGAACTCACACTGGGGAGAAACCCTATCAATGCCTGGAGTGTGGAAAGAGCTTCTCTCGTAGTAGAGGTCTACGAGGACACCAACGAACTCACACTGGGGAGAAACCCTATCAATGCCTGGAGTGTGGAAAGAGCTTCTGTGAAAGTGGAAATCTTCAAAAACATAAAAGAACCCACACTGGGATGCCTTGAGTGTGGAAAGCACTCACATTCTACTAAAATGATGCCAAGAGAGACTCTCTAAGATGTACAAAGGCAACTCTACAAAAATCCCAAAACAGCAGGAAAGAATCTTCCTGTACGTGACTACAGCAGCAAGCAAAGAATATGCCAAATACGGAAAAAACAAAGAACACCAACATCAGAGGAATTGATTACAATTTTTTTTAAATGGCTGAAATTGACAAATTAATGTTAATTCTACAAAAAGACAATACACAAAAACTGCAATAGAATTCGTGAACTAAAAGTGTTATGAGATAATGCATTCGTATAAACTATATAACTTGTATATCTAAGAGCAAAAAAAGTTTTGGAAAATTGATGAGTTAATATTTCTGTATTGAAGTAGAAAATATATAACTTCAAGAAGATTGATACTATAGCTATATACATTTATATAAGATTTATTGTGTGTAGATCATACGTGAATGATACTTATAAATGTTTACATGTATATTACTAATCTATTACTATATTTTAACTAAGTTATGTATATAGTTGACTGCCATCAAGAATAGAAAAAATAGGGTTTCACTTAGGCGATCCCTCGATCTCAGAGTATGAGGGCCTTCCAAGCGTAGTGTCCTGATGGTGGATACGGAGGTGACAGTGAAGCCCTATCCTTGACCTGCATGTTCTTCCACAGTGAGGCCATCGGTTTCCAGTCAAGGCTGCCTTGATGCGCCTTCCTCTTGGCCCCTTTCTCCCTTCATTCATGCCTCTTCAAATTCCACAGCACTGATGGTCACAGCTGACCTCTAGCTAGAGCGCTCAAGGGACAGGACTTCCCAGTTCTCCATGTCTATGCCATAGTTTTTAAGGTTAGCTTTAAGACCATCTTTAAATCTCTTTTCCTGTCCACCACCATTCCATTTTCTGTCCTTGACTTGGGAGTATTGTGACTGCTTTGGGAGATGGTGATCGGGCATTCAGACAATGTGGCCTGTCCAGTGGAGTTGATGACGTAAGAGCATCGCTTCAGTGCTGGTGGACTTTGCTTCTTCCAGCATGCTAACATTTGTCCATCTGTCTTCCCAAGAGATTTGCAGGATTTTTTGGAAGCAATACTGATGGAATCGTTTCAGGAGTCGAGTGTGACATCTGTAGAGAGTCCACGTTTCACAACTGTATAGCAGGGTTGAGAGGACAATAGCATTATAAACAAGCACCTTGGTCTCCCTATGGATGTCCCGGTCTTCAAACACTCTCTGCTTGATTCAGAAAATTGCTGCACTCGCAGAGCTCAGGGGTATTGTACTTCTGTGGAGAGGTGGCTCCCAAGGAAGCAGTAATGGTCAACATTTTCTAATGTTACGCCATTAAGGTGTATTTCTGGCATTGCCGATAGGTTGATTGGTGACTGTCGGAAGAGCACTTTGGTTTTCTGGATGTTCAGTGAGAGGCCAGGTTTCTCATACGCTTCTGCAAAGGTGTTTAGAGTGGCTTGTAGGTCATCGGCATATTGGAGTTCTATAGCAGACGTTGTGACTCTGGTCTTGGCTTTCAGTCTGCTGAGATTAAATAGCTTGCCATCTGTGTGATGGATTATTTCCAGTCTGGTGGGAAGCTTCCCATCAACAAGATGAAGTATCATAGTGTTGAAGATGGAAAATAAGGTTGGGGCAAGAACACATCCCTGTTGGACACCTGATTCCACCTTAAATGCGTCACTTTGGGAGCCACTCCTGCCCAAGAGTGTTGCCATCGTGGAGCAGCCACAGGATGTTCACAATTTTGTCAGGGCCTCTGAGTTTTTGGAGGATGGTCCAGAGAGCGCTGCAAATCACTATGTCAATAAATTCATGAATGTACAGAGGTTGATTTTATTCCCTGCCTGTTTCTTGGAGCTGTCGTGCAATGAAAACCATGTCCACTATTCCTCTGGAGGGGCAGAAGCCTTTCTGGGATTCTGGGAGGGTGTCTCCTGAGACAGGTCGAAAGAGGGTTGCAAGGATTTTTGCGAGGATTTTCCCAGCAGAGGTTAGAAGGGAGATACCTCGATAGTTTCCGCAGTCTGTTCCTTCCCCATTTTTTGAAGAGGGTGATGATGGTGGCGACCTTAAAGTCTGCTGGGATTTTCTTGGTCACCCACACTTTTTCAATGAGCTGGTGGAGTTGTTGTGTCAACTCAGGTCCACCCTCTTTAAAGATTTTAGCAGGGATCCCATCAGGTCCGCTGGCTGTGTTATTTTTTTGTTGGCTGATGGCATTGCTGACTTCCTTCAAACTAGGCAGTGCTGCTAGGTCATCATTGGTTTGTTGTTGTGAGAACCTCTTTGGCCACATTGAAGCTGCATTTCAGGAGGTTGTGGTCATGCGTTTTCCAACATAGTGCAATTGATTTTTTGTCCTGCAGAAGTTTGGCTCCATCTGATGAGCTTAGAGGGTGTATGCAATGGTTTCTTTGTCCATAGAAGACCTTTCTGGCTTTGAAAAATCCCTGAGCATCATGGATATCTGCCAAGTGTTGGATTTCTTGGCTTTTTTGTCCATCAGATGTTCTTGATGGACAAAAGGTAGAGTTCAGTAAAGTCCAAAAACAAAGTCTACACTTCTCTAACAAAATCCAAAGAACCAGAAAATGTTGATCCAAGGCATGAGTATGTAATCACAAGAGACAAAAAGCCAAACCAAGGAACAAGAAATCCTTAAGCATGATTCTTCTAAGCGAGGCTTCCATGAAACGAGGACAAGAACTTAGCAGGATTCTAAACGATGCTTCACCTGCCCTTTGGACCTCAGCTTTTGCACTGGCGTAGATCTTTTTCTTAGCAGCACAGTTGACATCTCTCTGTCATGTTTGGAAGTTTTCCCCTTTCTTGTCAATTACCTGTCAGATCTTTTTTATTGCTTAATATTTTATTTGGGGCGGGGGGGGGGGGAAATAAACTTGATTTACAGGTAAAGTAGGAGAACAGTAATGTGAAAGAAAAACAGGAAAGGAGAAGAAATAAAGTGTTCCAAAAAAGATGAAAAAAGGAAAAAGAGTAAAAAAAAAACCCTGCATATAAAAAATTGGGGGGAAAAAAGAAAAAAGTATATATGTGTGTGTGTGTGTAAAAATAACAAAAATAATAAAAAAATAAAAATGGTGACTTCCATCTAATCCTTTTCGGTTTCCAGCTTGTTCAGTCAGTTATATTAATTGTATTGTGTATTTTGCTTATTGCTTGTTTTTATTGATATGTTGTTGGGCTTGGCCTCATGTAATCTGCTCTGAGTCTCTTGGGGAGATGGTGGCGGGTTATAAATAAAGTTTATTATTATTATTATTATTATTATTATTATTACCTTCTGTATTAAAAAGAAAATTACAAAAACAAAAATGAAAGCTTAAGCATTGACCTCCATTATGTCCATTCTTTCAATATTTCTTTTAATGATCCTTCTGCTTTTTCCTTTCTTCATAATCCTCCAGCTGTGACCAATTTGTTTGTTTGATCAGATTTCCCGAGTTTTTATTTTATCCATGTCTTTTATCTCCCTTATTTTGTTTGACCATTTGTCAGTGTCCGGTACTTCCCTCTGTTTCCAGAGTTTCGCTCAGGTAATCCTCAGTTATTCCTAATAAATAATATTCTGACTTTTGGGATATTTTTTCTTAAGGATCTGTTGACACTCTTCGTGTATTAGTTTACAATATTTTTGAGATTCTCTGCAGGTCCACCACATATGGTGGAAACTACCCTCGTGGCCATTCCAACAGGTTTTTTTGTATGAATTTTTATACATTAAACTTAATTTTCTCGGTGTAACGTACCACCGGTGGAACATTTTTAACCAATTTTCTTTTAGATCTGCTGCATATGTGTAGTTAATTTTTTTGTTCCAAATACATTTCCAGTCTACTAATGGTATTGGTATTTTTAAATTTTCCATTTCACCATACAGTTTTTGATTACCTCCCCTTCTGTCGCCCATTCTAATAGTTTGTAAAAAAAATCTTTTCTTCGGTTTTTAGAATTTTTCCTTTCCATTAAATCCAGTATTTTTTATCCTGATTGTTCTCTAATTCTCTAATTTGTAGATAATGTAACCATTATAAAGTTTTATCTTTGTTCTTCATGGGTTTTCAATGTCTGTAGGAGGGAATATCACATCCCACCGCTGACACCAGTATAACAGATTTGGAAGGAACCTTACAGAGTCACACACTATTATAGATCAATCCCGCCTCTGCCCCCAGTATAAAAGAATCTTTACACGGTATAAAAGATCTACACGGGGTTTAAACACGGTATGATGTTGGACGTGTGTGTGCTCTGGTAGAGTGAACACCGCATCTGTTGTGGCTCAGCATCTTGGCAGCAAAGCTGCTACCAGTTGTAATGAAAGGAGGAGTAATGCTGAGTCAGAGCTCGATCAGCATCAGCTGGAGCGTATTCAAGATGTATTCTTAGCGCCTAGTAACAGGTCAGATTTTGCAGGATTTACACCCGGGGATCTGGAAAAAGGGGATTACCGGGGAGTAAAGCGGGCTGCCAATGAGTCCGGTAGTGATGAGGAAACGCTGAGTAAAAGGCTTAAAGATACAGCGGACAATTCCAGTGCAGATGAACTAAAAGCCAGCAATGAGGAGATGGAGGAGAAATTGGACTGGACTCGGGTTAGGGAAATTCAGGACATATGTAATCAACCCTCGTCCAGTGACGAGTTCAAGGGATTCCAAAGTACATGGCAGGAAGGTCCATCCTGGCAGGATCCTGATCAACGATGGCAGCGCTGGCGAGGTAACGAGCCAGCAGGTGGGAGAGATGACCCAGGTGATAGCGATGATGGCCAATCAAGTGATGATGACTGCTAATAAAAATGGGAGCTCTGGGACATGTAGCTTTGCAGAGGACAAAGCATTGTATACGGTCTTTGTGCTGCCTAACCTCTGTCTGGGTCCTGGGTTTCCAGTTATTTTGTCTTCTTGTGCCTTGACTTTGGATTGGACTATGTAAGTGACTTCTTGTGCCTGACTTTGGAAACGTTCCTGGACCACGCAACTGTTTTCTGGACTTTGCTACTGTTCTTGCCTGTGTATGACCAAGGACCGTTTTGACTCTGTGCTTATCAACGCCAGCCAGCGTTTGCTTCTGCTTTCCTTTTCCCTGAGTCTGAATCCTGGGATAATCCGGCTTAGCTCCCTCCTTTGTTTACTTGCCAGAAGGCCTTTTGTTTTGTTAAATAGCACTGCTGCTTAAGTGCTATTAACCTGCCAGAGACTCATTAAAGACCTTTTTGTTAACCCTTAAACTGCTGTGTGAGACAATCTTTGGTGCCCAGTCACAACAGCATCAATCTTCTGGTTTATTTGCTGCCACCACCTAAGTTACTAGGATTTTAAAAATGATCCTCTGAGGTAACTTTTCCCCTGCCAACCCAGCTCTCCCTTAGCTCCCAAAGATGACTGTGATGTTAGGATGTTAAAGAGCCTAGAATTATCCCCACAGGAATGAATAACAATTGAGGCTTCTTTAAAAGTTGAATAGAGAAAAGATTTATTTATAAGAACACACAAGTGACTTCTTTGATGAGGCACAAAAGCTTAACTTGTTACTAAGGTACCGTATTCTTGGTGGTTTCTTTAAACAGTCCCTTGACTTAACTATTATCAAAATTCCTCACTCTACAGTAACGAAGTCGCAGTGAGTCCCAGACTAACCTACTCAGGCTGTCTTCAGAGCAGTTAACTCACTCTAATCAGAGTACTCTACAGCTAATCTACTCCACCCAGAGAGCAAACCACTTGTGTTAACACCCACAAGTAAACCAGGAGGCTACTTGACCCTTCTGGCCAATAATGCAGCCTTGCCTGCCACAAACGCTCTCTATCAGAAAAACCTAGTCTCCAAAGTACCTCTCCTCTCTTCTGTTCCCAAAACCAAACTCCTCTTCTCTCTTAGAAGCTGTCACTTTTTCCCTCCCAAGACTTGGCTCCTCCCATCTGCTCTAGCCAATCCCAGGAGACCTCCAGCTCCTCCCCTCTTCTACCCTTCCACTCTCAAGATGTCTGCTTCCCTAGCTTACACTCCCAAAATGGGGGTCTGCCTCACTGATATCTCAGGCTTCTACTTTGGCCTACTAGGTAAGAGTCATTGCAGTTGGCGATTTAGACCAGCCTAGAAGTTTCCTGTGATTAGCTTCCATAGGAGAAAGCCATAGTGGCGTTTTTAAGTAGAGGACCCTTTTGCATCTCTCCCACGTCCTTAGTAATGCAGATCGTACAAAATGGTTGCCAAAAAAAATATCTCTTTTTTTTCTCATACCAAATGTACGAATGCCAGCCTACCCATAGGTTATGGCCTTCCAAGGTCAGCAATTTTTCTTGTTTTAAATTCATCCAATCTTTTACCCAAATGAGTGCACACGCGTCGTGATAAAGTTTCAAAGTTTCAAAGCCAAAACCCTGTGTAGTTTTTTGTTTGTCAGCACTGTATATTTTATCCTGGCTTTCTTCTCTTTCCACGTAATTTTTAATAAATCCTTTGTCCATTCTTTCATTTTTTAACATTACGTATTATGGGAAGATTTTGAAACAAATATAATCATTTGGAGAGAACATTCATTTTCACTAAGGAGATTCTTCCCAAAGGGGATAAGTGAAGAGAACTCAATTTTTCTAAAACTTTCTTTATTTCTTTGCAATTTTTTTTCATAATTATTAGTCCATTCTTTGCCAATATCCAAATTCCTAAATATTTTATTTTTGTAATTATTTGAAGACCCATCTTATTTTTAGTTCCTCTTGCTTTTTCTTCATGTTTTTAGTTAAGATTGTTTTTTTTTGTCTATTTAATTTAAAGCCAGCCAATTTTCCAAATTCTTCAATTTTTGACAACCACTCTGTCATATTTTAACATGGGCTTTCAATTAAATTTTCATGCCTTTTATATTTTCGTCCTCCTTTATACTCTTTCGTAATAATTCCAATAACATAATAAATAAAAGAGGGGAAAGAGGAGAACCTTGTCTTGAGCCTTTATATATATTAAATTTTTCTGAAATGTGTCTCTTTATCTGAATTTTGGCTTTCTGATTTTCGTAAATTGCCTCTATAGCATTAATGAATTGGTGGCCAAGGTCTATTCCCGCATTAGTATTTTAAAGAAATCCCAATTAAGGTTGTCAAATGCTTTCTCCACATCTAGTGCAAGGAAAGCTGCTTCTTTCTATGGGTTGGCTTCAAAATACACCATATCAATTATAATTCTTACATTTTCTTTTAAAATTTCTTTTGGAGAGAAAGTCTACCTGTTTTTCACTTATCCATTAATTAAGGAATTATTTTCGTCTTGGTGCTAAGACATTTGCAAATATTTTATCATTGGTATTCAGAAGGGAGATGGGTGTGTAATTCCGTATGTCTTGAGATTCTTTTTAAAGGTTTCTAAGGTTGGGGTTTTCCTAATCTCTCCGGGCAATGAGTTCCAGAGTCGAGGGGCCACAGAGGAGAAGGCTCTCTCCCTTGTGCCCACAAGGCGAGCCTGAGAAACTGGCAGGGGCGAAAGGGGGGGCCTCCCCCAAAGATTGCAAAGTTTGGGCTGGTTTATGGAGAGAGATACGGTCACGAAGGTAGGCGGGTCCCTAACTGTTTAGGGCTTTATAGGTAAGAATCTTTACCTTGAATTAGGAAGATGAACAGCAGCCAATGAAGTTCCTTAAACGGGGGTTGACCGCTCCCTGTAAGTTGCCCCAGTTATTAATCTGCCTGCCGAGCGTTGGACGAGTTGTAATTTCCGGGCTGACTTCAAGGGTAGCCCCATGTAGAGTGCATTGCAGTAATCCAGTCTAGAGGTAACTAAGGCATGGACCACCATAGTCAAGTCAGACTTCACGAGGTATGGTCGCTGACTTCAAGGGTAGCCCCATGTAGAGTGCATTGCAGTAATCCAGTCTAGAGGTAACTAAGGCATGGACCACCATAGTCAAGTCCGACTTCACGAGGTATGGTCGCAGTTGGTGCACGAGTTCCACCAAGGCAGGACCCGAAGAGCTCCGGTGAGGGGTGACGACATCTCCAACCAGGCTGAAGACCCTCTCATTCTGCACACTAGTAGGTGGATAGCTGAGGTGCTTCCTGGAAATCGTTGACAGATCCATCACACCTGGCTCCGGATAGACCAGTAGGTCAAAGAATTGCAGGTCTGACCCTCTACTGGCATGCTTGGGTACATAATAATAATAATAATAATAGTAATAATAATAATAATAATAATATCGGCACACTGGGTGTTGTGCCTAAAGACCTTGGCCTGCACTTAAACACAATCGGCGCTGACAAGATTACCATCTGCCAGCTGCAGAAGGCCACCTTACTAGGATCTGCACCCATTATTCGCCGATACATCACAGAGTCC